CTCCCTGCTGAGCGCCCGGCGCCTCAGCTGATCTATATGTCTCTTCCACACTTGCCCATTTTCCAAGGTCACATAATAGGACACAGGTCCACTAGCCCGGGTGACCACGCCAGCCACCCACCGCGAACCTCGTGAATAGTTCCTCACCCAGACCAGATCTTCAGGGGCGAGATACCTTGTTGTGTCAGTCTCAGCCTGGGGGGTTGCTCTTGAATTATGGTTTGGCATTTTATCCGGGTGGACATAATCCAGCACCGTTACCAGTCTCCTACCCAAGAGCAGCTCAGCTGGCGACTTGCCCGTTGTGGTACACGGCGTCGCATGCTGCAAAAATAACATTCGCGCGATGCGAGCTGACCAGTTACCCTCCATTAAGCGCGCAATGGATTCTTTGGCTGTTCTTACCATGCGCTCAGCCTGCCCATTGGAGGATGGGTGAAAGGGCGCGGATGTGACCCCTCTTATGAAGTTATCAGCCAAGAATGCCCTGAATTCTTGGGATACAAAAGCTGCCCCATTATCTGATACAATGGTCTCAGGTAACCCGTGGGTTGCAAACAGCTGCCTCAACACCTTGATGACGGCAGCTGATGCCATGCTAGGGACCATCGCCACTTCTAACCATTTGGAATATGCATCAACGATAACCAAAAAGACCTTTCCTTGGAATGGCCCAGCAAAATCTAAGTGCAGCCGGCTCCAGGGAGATCTGGACTGCTCCCACCAGTGGACTGGTGCTCTGGCCACTTCTGGCCGCACCTCTTGGCATGCCTTGCATGTTCGTACCCATTGTTCTATGTTCTGGTCCATTCCAGGCCACCACACATAACATCGGGCTAGCGACTTCATCCTGACCATTCCCGGGTGTCCCATGTGAAGCGTCTCAAGAACCCTGTTTCTCAGTGGTGCTGGGATGATGACCCTATCTCCCCACAGGAGACAACCCTTATGCATGGACAACTCGTGCTGCCTAGTCGCATAAGGCCTGAATTTGTCTTCATGCGGACCACCTGGCCACCCCTCCCCACCCAAGTGAGCACACGGGAGAGAACAGCATCTTTCCTCGTTTTCTCAGCTATATCAGTAGCCGTTACAGGAGCCCCCGGAAGTGTTTCCAGCATCATTATGTGCTCCGCTGGAGCAGGATCCTCAGTGCTCCCGCCAGGAAGGGGCAATCGACTCAGCGCATCCGCGTGGCACAACCGTTTCCCGGCACATGGGTCAAGGTGTACTGGAACCCGTTCAGGAATATAGACCAACGTAACATTCTGGGGAGAGAATTTGTGGCGTTTGTTTGTTCGGGTTGAACAACCCTAACAGTGGCTTGTGGTCCGTTTCAATGTAGAAATGGCGACCGTACACATAATCATGGAACTTTTTGATTCCTGCCACAATTGCAAGCGCCTCTTTGTCAATTTGAGCATAGTTGCGCTCCGTGGGCGACAACGTACGGGAATAGAAAGAGATGGGCTTTTCCGACCCATCCGGTTCCCTATGACTTAGCACCGCCCCCAGGCCGTATTGAGAGGCATCACATGCCAGGACCAGAGGCTTTGACTCGTCATAATGAGCAAGGACACTCCTGCTACTCAGCATTCCTCGCAAGGAGTCAAAAGCCTTCTGCTGCCCCTGCCCCCATCGCCACACAGTCTTTTTCTGCAACAGTCTATGTAATGGTTCAGCTACCGAAGCTTTCTGGGGTAAGAACGAATGATAAAAGTTAATAAGTCCCAGGAATGACTGCAACTCCGTCTTGTTCTGTGGTCGTGGCGCCTCGATGATGGCCTTAATCTTAGCATCTGTGGGGTGGATGCCTGATGCATCAATTTTAAACCCCAAGAAATCCACAGTTGGCACCCCAAAACTGCATTTTTCCTTTTTCAGTTGCAACCCCACCTCCTTGAACTTGAGCAACACTGCACGAACACGCGCAACCAGTTCCTGTGGGTCTTTTCCAGCAATCAAAACGTCATCAAAAAATGGCAAGACCCCGGCAGACCTCTTAACAGGTGTTCCATGAGCCCTTGAAAAATCCCTGGGGCCACACAAACTCCAAATTGTAATCTGTTAACTCTGAACGCCCCTTTATGTGTGACAATAGTCTGTGCTTCCGCTGATTGTGGGGTTACTGGCAGCTGTTGGTAAGCTTGTGCCAGGTCAATTTTGGCGAACACCTTGCCCCCAGCCAGTTTAGCCAACAGATGTGATACGACTGGAATGGGGTATGAGTTTCCCCTGAGTGCCTTATTGATAGTACATTTGTAATCTGCACAGATCCTGACTTCCCCATTTGCTTTAAGGGGCGTGACGATTGGAGTCTCCCACTTAGCAGAGTCCACGGGTGAGAGAACTCCCTGCTTGACCAATTTATCCAGCTCTGCTTCGATCTTGGGTTGCAGTGCAAATGGCACTCGCCTTGGTTTGAGTCGGATTGGGGCCACCCCAGGGTCCAACTCGAAGTCAACTGGGGGCCCTTTATAACAACCCAGTTTTCCATTAAAGAGACCAGCAAATTCTTTGCATAATGCCTCGCTCATCTCAGGGCAGGTTTGGATTGAATTAAGCCCTGATATACTCAGTCCCAGGGCGGGGAACCAGTCAGTGCCCAGGAGACTGGGGCGACTGCCCTTCGCAATCACCAGTTTGAGTACAGCCTGTTTGTCCCGGAACTGTACTCTCACGGCACACATTCCCATAACATGGATGCGGCCCGCTGAGTATGACTGCAAGGTTGCCGGGACGGGTTCCAGAGGGGCAACTTACCCCTGGGGAAGAATGTCCTCGCGGTCTGGTCCGACACGATAGTGAATCCAGATCCAGAGTCCACCTCCATGTCGCACTGCTGACCCTCAATCTTCACCTTGACGTGTGCCTTGCCTTGTGCTGGGAACTGCACGACCCTCCCGTTGATCTCCGTAACGTAGTGGCAGTCCTTTAGAAAATGGGTTGCTGCGGGCGGTCTGCGATGCTCCGGTCTAGGTGCTCCTGTCGCTCCCAACGCCGCCGATCTACAGACTCTGGCGATGTGACCTGTCTTCCCGCACGTCCGGCACATAGCATCCCGGAAACGACAACTCTTCCGCTCATGGTTTCCGCCACAACCTGGGCACCTGCCTCGGTGATCTTTGTGCACTGTGCAGGCCTGACTCACTGACTCGACCCCACGGACTGGGCTCTGGCTCGGAGTAGCCTCTAGCTCGTCCATGGCATGCGCAACTTCTATCTGTGGCTTAGGGGCCTTGCGACTGGCATCAAGCTCCTCTCTTTCATAATTCTCCGTGGCGGTGGCCTCCTTCAAGGCTGAAGCAAGGGTAACCTCTTCTTTAGCCACGATGCGTCTTCTGGCCTTCTTGCTGCTCAGACCACCGATAAACCGATCCAGGAGAGTCTCTTCCAGATTTTGGAAGTCGCAGTGCTGAGCGAGCTTCCGCAGTTCAGCCAGAAATGCAGATACAGACTCCCCAGCATGCTGCTGCCTCTTATGAAACTCCATCCGCCGAGCCATCTTGGTCTCAGTAGGCGCCAAGTGGCTTGTTAGGCAGGCAAGAATATCTTTGAGAGATGTCTCACTTAGCTTCGCTGGAGCAAGCAACGCCTTGGCCAGCTTGAAGGTCTCAGGCCCACAGTAGCTCAGGAATGTGGCCCTTCTTTTGCTGGCATCGGTGATCCCTTGAGCCTCTGCGAAGAACTCGAAGCGTTCGACGTAGTCTTCCCACGTGTCGGGCTCTGATGGCTGGAAGGGCTCCAATACCCTTGGACTCTCCATTGTCCTGTGGCAGGGTCGTCTTCTCAGCTGGTCAGTGAGTCTTGTTCTTAGCTGCAATCCGGACTCTGAGGCAGGGCTGCGTTTAACCGCTCCTCAGCATTCCGGATCCCATCCTCGTCGCCAGTTGTTGTGACGTGGGGTTTGTGATTTCAGCTCTCCTGATATAACATGCTGGAGACAGTTCTCTAGTAACACTTCTTTATTAAAGCAACAAGACTAAAGACTGGGGAGAGGAAAGCTACATTTATAGGGACAGGGAACTAGCAAGAAAGGATACATTTTGGAGGGAACAATATCAGGCAATCACAGTCCTGCCTTTTGGAGGGAACCAATAAGACAGAGGATCCAAATACAGCAGCTTAAATGAACCAATAGTAGCTGTACCCTCTGGAACCAAAAGGCAGTTACTTTACCCTAATGCAAATACAGACAATAATAATACAGATATAAAATCCTTTGACTCAATACACAACATTCTTTTAGTCAAATAGGTGCCCAAACAGAATATTAAGTGCAGTTTATAAGAGAATGTTGATTCCCCCTACAACAAAATCTGTGCTTTCTCTGATGGGAGCACTAATTGTCATAGTATACTCAGCATTTTTTGTTGTTTTTGTTTCATGAAAGAAAGATATGCAGTTTTGTAGTTTAACAGCTATCCAATGCCTTCTTGCTGGGGAGTAAGCCCCTCTGAACTCCGTGGTACTTATTTCCAAGTAAACGAGTTTAGCATTGTGTTTTTAATCCCATTATCTATTCATATAGATCCTATTTATCTAGGATTACAGTAACCTTCATCCTGTTCTTCTCTCCTAAACCACCACTGTCTGTGGACAGAGATAACATTGTTTGGGTGCTGTAACTACTACAGTATATATAAAATTTCAAACCAAACCACAAAGCAGCAGGGTATCAATGGTTTTGTTTCTTTTAACTGTAAAGTATGAAAAATACATTAGACAGAGGCAGGGGTGGGTTGCCAAGCGGGGCAAATCTGCAATAGTAGCCTCCCTACCATTTATAGGCAGGCAGAGGAACAAGACAGCCTCCTGTTCAGCCCTTCCCTCTGGCTGGTCAAAGTCCTCCCACCTCCTTGATGTGGATCTCAGTCCACAGGAAGGGCAGAGGAGAGAGCATCTCTTCTTCCCACTGCCTGACATCTAGGGTCACCTCACTCCTCTACCTTTGGGTGCCAGTCTTACAGCCCCTATCCCCACCTGCTCCTTTTCTTCCTTCCTTGGTAGCTCAGCTGGTAGGGCATGAGACTCTTAATCTCAGGATTGTGGGTTCAAGCCCCATATTGGGCCAAATATTGCTGTATTGCATGAGGTTGGACTTGATGACCTTTGTGATACCTTACAACTTCACAATTCTATGATTCCTCTTCTTCTGTCTGAGGCTGCCAAGACATGCAATTTCAATCTTGCTCTTTCGATCTCTGCCCCACAAAATGTAAAATACTAGAAATGATTGGACACTTTCCCCACCACTTCTATTTTCACAAGCATGTCCTTCTCTGTGTTCTGAAAAGGAAATATTTAATTTCCAAACCGCCCATGGGAAGTTAAACCATAACCACCAACACATCTTAACTGCTGCAATGCCTACAAATTTATTCTATCAAAGGATTGGAGTGGAGTTATGGCCATTTGAAAATTTCCTAATAGTTAATGGGGGTGGGGAAATGAAGAAATGGCTGCCCTTGTGGGAAAACCACTGGGGGATCTTCTGAAATTTGGTAGGATATATGCCTTCAGAAGTGGAAACTTGTTGCAAATTTCAGATTATTCTGTCCTTTTTACAACACACACACACACACACACACACACACACACACCAAATATCCCTGAGCCTATCTGCCTTTAATTTATCTATTTGGGTGGGGATAAAATGCCTGCAAATTTCATCCACTTCTATCAAAAGGGAGGAAGTTAAACAAAAATAACTTCCTCCCTTTTGATAGAATAACTTCCCTGCAAACAAAAATAAAGATTTGAAAGAGAAATGAAGCAAATTGAAGCTGACCTTTAAACAAATCAAGCAGACTACAAAGCACTTCAGATCAAGACAGGCTGTTTTCCAAAGCACCAAATTGGGGTCCAAATTAAATACGCATCTTAGCACACATCCCCAATAATTAGTTTTTATGGTTTATAGCAGGATTGAGAAACTTGTGACCATCTGGGTGTTGCCAGACTGCAATGCCTATCATCCCTGATCTTTTGCCAAGCTTGCTGGAGCTGATGGGAGTTGGAGTCCAACAACCTCTGGTTTTCCATCCTTGTTTTATAGAGAACTTAGACTCAGGTGTGACTTGTGATCCAGATACCATGAAATTCTCATGGGAGTCTCCAGGATTATTACAGAGGTGTTAGTTGTGGATTACATTCACAGGACACTATTCAGTCAAATGTAAGCACATGCTTAGCTCTATCACTTTAACAGTGATACTTAGAAGTGCTTTATTTTGGTTGAATCACACTCTTAGTGATTTTCTCAAGTCTGATCAGCTACTGAGCTGGATTACAGCTCAAGTCTCTCAGGTACAAATATAATAATAGCCACTGAACCAGAGGAGCTCAGCTGTAAATATATGTTCCAGTTGCCACACTGGTGTCTCTGGAGTTGCTGCCTTGAATGCCATGTGTTATTAACTATTGAGAAATTTGGATGGGAGAATAGCACTATTGGTGTTTTATATATGAGACTACCTCTCTCCTTGTGTCCTTCAATCCAGTATAATTAAATTGAGGGTTGGATTCTTCAAAGAACTGTGTTATGCAGTAAGGAATGAATAAATGAATGAATGTATAAAATGAGATTAATTTCTTATATTGCAATTGTGATGATAATGCCTGTTCACATAGAGCCAGTTCATGTACTTCTTACTTAAAATTTACAGATGAGCGGGGTGGTATGGATGGTGTGGTGCTTGTTTTTAACAGCAGCTTCATGTACAGAATCAGAATATGAAAGTTTTAATGGGAGAAGAATAAATATTATAACTTACCATTGTCCGCACATCAAACGGGAAACCCTATTCTCTCTCAGTTGTCAGAGCACAAAAGGTGGCCCAAGGTCAATAGCACTGATTTCACACACACAGAAAAGGTTTCCCACCTGCATGCAACTTTACATGTTTTCTTTCTATGCCACTTTTCTTAATTTTACAAATTGATGTTTGATCTCTGCTTTGAAGGGTTGCGGAGCAGAGTGTTAACTGATCTAACAGCAGCAAATCCTTCTTGCAGGGAATCTAAATCAACTCTCTGTGTTGAGTTCTGCATCACTAAAACAGAATCCTGCCTCTTGGCTTAATTATAACAAAGCTTTTCTGTTGGAGAAGAAAAAAAGAAGTTACGCTGCCACCAAAATAAACAAACCTCATAATTCTTCTCCCAAACTTCAATCACTCAGCTCTCAATAGAATGAAACTTCACTTTATTGGGTTCATTTTCAATGCTGTCATCTTTGCCCGCAACCCTGGGATGAACTCAGTCCTATTGTGTTCACAATGCCATCATGGCTATAGAAAGAGCAGAGCTGATCTGAAACACAGGTAAAATTGTCCCCTCAGCCTGCAATCCTTTCAGTTTCCTCAGTGGTGTTGCCAATTTAAAGATGACAACTGTTCCTCTGAGATTCACTTTCCATCTGCCTCTGCTTTCAAAACACTCAACAACACTTCTACTCCTTAACTCCTAAATATATTCACTGACAGATTTTATGCACGCACACAAAAACCATTAAAAATTGCTGTACCTGAACAGATCATGGGTTCATCTGTTCTTATATTCTGCCTTGGCACTATCTCAAAGGAAACTTAAAGCTCCCATTCTACACCTGGCCAATTAAAAAGTGCTATATGTAAAGAATGCCATTAACTTCCTGGTTACTTTGGCCACCTAAAAAAGAAAAAGAAACCTTCTATTGCCTAGTTGCAAAGGGGGGTATTTCTACAATTATAGAGTTGTGCAATGTGTTATATATTCTCCCAGGACATAAGCCAAGAGGAGCATAGCCACAAACAACAACTTTAATAATAAACGAAACTTCAGTGTAACTAGGGGTGGGGAATCTCCAGCCCTGGGAGCCTGAATACAGCTCTTCAGGCTTTCTCCATGCCCCTCAAGTGTTTTTGCCTGGCCACACGAGTCTTTGAACTGTGGTAATGCCTCTTGTTTGCCTGAATGGAGAGACATCTTTCTGGGTATAGACAACTCTGAGCATTTGAAACTGGGACAAAAGTGCTAGCATAATAATCAGGAAAACTATCATGGCTATAACCTTCTGAATGCACCCCTATTGTTGGTGTACCTGCTTTCCACTCTACTGTCCCAATGGGCACCAGCCACCACTACTGCACATTTTATTCAAGACAACCTAGTCTGTATAAAATTACCCTAATATTCCATCACTGTTTCTCTTATTCCATATGCCTGTTATTTGTCTGTGGGAAATGCTGTTTCAATTTAGTATGCTATATAGATCAGCTAATATTAACCTGCTTCTCCAGTGCACAGGGTATTATATTTTCTTAAGTGTATTGTCTCCAAATGTAATCAGTTTACTGGATATTTATATGCAGGTCTGTAGAGCAAATCCAGGTGTGTTTCTGAACTCATTTTGGGTTCAGTCTGTTCTATAGGAAGCGACGTCTAAAAATAAAAAGTCATAATTCCAAGTGGCATAAACATGTGCATAATGCAAAACACACACACACACAAAGAAATGTAATTTCTGCTTGGCTTAAAATTTATATTGATAGAGATAGTGAGAAAGAACCCCCTTAGGCCTCAGAATTTCCCCTTAAGAACACCAGGAACTGTGTTCCCTTTTGGGACAAGGAGGCACAACAGAGGCGGTGGTGTCTTTATGATATATGCTTTATTTACACATATATACAACCGGAACCTAGATGGAGGGATTGTGGGGCATTCACATCCTAAGAGGGCCTTGTGCTTTCCAGCAGCGCAGCATTGGATTCAGGGGCATCGTAAGCGCCATCCCCCTGTCTCTCTTTAACAGCCTGCTCAAGCCAGCCAGTATGGCTGCTGTCCCTCAGTCCCCACATGGAGTTCTGCCCACTTCCTCCTCCTTTCCAGCAATATTTGCAGAAAAACAACAACTACTCCCCTTCTACTTCCAGCAAACACACATCCTGGTCACCCTGGCATCTTCTGTAAAAGATTGCAAAAGGCACTTTTACCTTTTAGGCCAAAGGTAATCCTACCCCAAAACTACTGGGGCCTTATGTTTTGTCAATGGCTTATCATTATTAAACAAACTAGGCTGTCAGGGAACTGCCATCGGAGCCAGGGGGAGACGGAGGGCTCCAGAGGGATTCCGGAGAGTGTCCCAGGAGGGAGAGAAGCAGCACATCTTCTGGGGAAGGAAATCAGCGTAGCACCAGTGGAGAAGGGGGGCAGATGGGGGAATCGGCGAGGGGACCAGTGGGGAGAGCACGGGTCCTCCGCTGCCCACACCCTCCCTGCGCAGAAGGCTTCCGCGCAGGGAGAGTAGGCGGAGACTAGGCGTCAAAGAACTTCTTTGCTGGAAGAAGTTCAAGAAACGCCCACTGACGGATTCTGCCAGCGATTGAGACAGCCACGGGCGAGTGGCTGTCCGGACAGAAAGGGTTCACTCAGGCAACCCAGCCAGGTGTGGCGCCAATTTACGCACGAGCAACCCCTAGAACCATTACATAGGCTATTGTAAGCTTTTCATTTCTTCAGTGACACTCAATGGGCCTTGCCAGGCTGGCCTCATGAGGAAGCTAGCCTGTATTATTTCCAGCCCTTGCTAAATTCAGGAGTTTATGAGGTTGTTCAAATTCTAACCCTTCGCTGAATGTAGAGGTTGGAGGGGGTAGTGGTCTGCCACCCACAACTCATAACAATTCTCAGCACTTCTCTTAAGGTTTCAAACCATCCCAGTGTCCCCAGCCAGCAAGCCCATATTATCATCCCTATATTCCAGATGAGAGGCTGATAAATAGTGTCCCTTGTTTAAGAGCATAGCCAAGATAAGATTTGAAACAAAGACTTCACAACTTATGCACTAGACATCTAATTGTGTAATGTAGAAGTTAACGGCTAAGCTACACGTGGCCTGTAGATTTCTACATGTATGGACATTTAAGCACGTGGCTGTCCAATCAAAGAGATCATAATTCCATCCATGTCTTTGCCCACCACAGGAGACCATGATGTGCATAATATTTCTGTCTTACGTTTGGGCAAAGGGTAATAAATTTGGATGTAGCTCAGCTTACAGGAAGTCTGTCATCAGAATCAGGAAGATACAACA